TCACTTTAGAACACTGAAAGCGGCTGCGTTTAATTCACATTATTCTTAGTGCTGAGAGTTCAGAGGGTGATTACTGTGGAACCAGGTGTGCAGAACTGGTTCCAAAGTCATGTCCACTTGACACAGAGAGCGTGGCTCCAGAGGACACTGGGGAGAAGAGCCTCCATAGGGCAGAGTTGTGCATTTGGCATTGGTAGACAAGGTACACTGTCTCCTCTTTTCAACCAAAGCCAAGATACTGCCTTTTTTAAATTATTTTAAACAGAAATTACAATTGAGGATCATTTTTTTGATGAAGAAACAGATAATAAGTAGGAAAGAGACTGGTGCAGGTCATCTGATGTAGGCTGTGAAAAAACAGTATGTGACTTGGAGAGAAGACAAAGTTGGATGGGGGTATGAAGAAGCCAACAGTGGTGGTCAGTCTGCTCTGGGATGTTAAATAACACCCAGGAATCTTGTCAAATGTCTTGCTAATATGTATCCATAAACTGCAAAGATGTTTTATTGTAAGCAAATTCACAGTTAACAGTGCAGAGATGTTCTCCTAAGTTAGCTGGAGTACAGTAACCACTGCACGATGAAGGCCTCTGTTGGTAACCAGTATCAGGATCAGAGTTCTTTTGATTATTTTTAAATGTAATTTTATGATCCCCTGCCTTTGGGTGAGCTTTAAAAAAAACCCCAAGCCCCACCAGTGATAATTTTTAAAAGATTGATGTGAATTTGTGCAATACAGTATTTATCAAGTATTTCAGCACTTCAGTCCTTATTTTATAAAACATCAGGATGCTGTGATCTCACTGATGATGCATGTGTTTGATGTATCAGAAATGTTTTGATCAGCATTCATGAAGGTTTACATAAGGTGGTTCTTTCCTGCTGCAGTTTACCATGGTGTGTACTGTAAAACCAGTACCAGAAACTGTATTGTGCTTCTGTCTGGAGCTTTTGTACCTGGCAGCATATTCCTTATTTGTATTAAAGTAATGTCTATTCATCCCACTGGGGCTTGATTATAAGTGAGGCACGTAGTAGAGGAGGATCCTTGTCTGGAGAGCTGATAGCATGAATAGACAAGCTGGGTGATGTGGGGTGAGAGGCACAGGGAGGTGAAGAAAAACGTCTTACCAGTATTCACCCAGTGAGGTAGAAGAGAGCCCAGCTCCTTTGGCTCTGGCTGTTGTTCTCAGGCTTCCTGTCAGGTGCTGAAATTATAGGTAGTGGAAAATCTTGTGAATGTGTCAAAAATTAGCCTATGATATCAAGAGCTATCTTCAGCCCTTCTCACTGGTTAAAAAAGAAAGGACAGAGAACCTGAGGAATATATGAGTGCAAACCCTTCTGCAGGCTCTTGAAGCTCTTGCCTGTTTTCTTGGTAGAACAGCACAGGACACTGTAGGTTTCAAGGAGGGCAGAACTTATCCCACTATGGGGAATTTAGAGAAAAGGCATGTTTTGCATGTGCAAAAAAAAAAAAACCAAACAAAAACCAAAAGAAGGCACTGTGCTTATACTCCATGTTGAAACAATCATGGTATAGTGCAGTACAGGTCGTACAGAGGGCCAAGTATTAGCTCCTGTGGGTTTGAAAATGGTGACTTTGGATAAGATACTCATATAATATTCATATAACCTTTGCATGATACCAGTTATCTATTAGACTGCATTTCTGACCTGCACCTCCCAGGAAACGAATACTTACTCCAGTGCAAAATTTCTTATTCTGCAAAGCTTGACAACTTCTTCTGAGATCACTCTGAGCCAGTTGGCCCTCTCTTAAATATTCATCAGACTTCTGATAATTGTGATAACCCTTATAGGCTGGCAAGCATGGCAAATTAGCAAAAAGATGATTGATCTTTTTTTATATGCAGTTTTATCTTCAACCTTTCCTGGATATATGTTATACTATAGTAATAATTTCTTCTCTAAGGTATTTGCCAGTATCTGGATTTGCACATCTATTTACAGTTGCCTTGAAGCCTCATAATTACAATACAGCTGAAATGTCCATTTTCTTTCCCTGACTACAAATAGGGATCAATCGAATTTTAAATGACTGCTTACGGGCTGGCTTCCGATCATGACCTTTGTAAATGATTAGAGCTCACCACTGTTGCTATCTACCTTGAAAGGGTAAGCGGGCAGGTCTGTCTAACTGGCATTTAATCTGGAAGAGAGCCAAAGATATTTGAGCTAAAAACCTAATATGAGTTGGCAAAGAGAAGTATGTATAGACCTTTGCACTATTATTTAGATATTTTTCTGCGTTTGTTTTTTGTATTTAGGAAATTCTTTTCTCCTCTAGATGCAATATGTATTTTTAGATAATGTTAAGCTGGAGTTATGGTAATAACTGAAGTTGCAGAATATATAGCATAAAAATGCGAAAAATGGGGTTTCAAACTTTTAATTACTGAATTCACTTTTTCTGAAGAATGCAAAAATATAGAATGGTTTGGGTTGGAAGGAACCTTAAAGATCATCTAATCCAACTCCCTGCCATGGCAGGGACACCTTCCACTATCCCAGGTTGTTCCAAGCCCCGTCCAACCTGGCCTTGGACACTTCCAGGGATGGGGCAGCCACAGCTTCTCTGGGCAACCTGTGCCAGGGCCTCCCCACCCTCACAGGGAAAAATTTCTTCCTTGTATCTAATCTAAATCCACTCTGAAGCCATTTCCCCTTGTCTGTCACTACATGCCCTTGTAAAAAGTTCTTCTCCAGCTCTCCTGTAAGAGCCCTTTAAGTGCTGGAAGGCTGCGGTGAGGTCTCCCCAGAGCCTTCCCTCCTGCAGGCTCTCAGCCTTTCCCAGTTCTCTCAGCCTTTGCTCATGGCTCCAGCTCTCTGGTGGCCTCCTCTGGACTGGCTCCAGTGGGTCCATGTCCTTCTTGTGTTGGTGGCCCACAGTTGGAGGCAGCACTGCAGGTGGTCTTGCCAGAGTGGCGTAGAGGGAAAGAATCCCCTTCCTGAAAGAATTCCTGAAAGAATTCCCTACTGCCCACGCTGTGGGATGAGCCCAGGGCAGGGTTGGCTTTCTGGGCTGCCAGTGCACACAGCTGGGTTGTGTCAAACTTCTAATCCACCAACACCTCCAAGGCTTTCTCCTCAGCCCGTTCTCCACCCAGCCTGTGTTTTTGCTTGAGGTTGCCCCAACCCAGATGCAGGACCTTGCACTTGGTGTTGAACTTCATGGGGTTTGCAGGGGCCCAGCTCTCAGGCCTGTCAGAGACCTTCAGGATGGCATCCCTCCCCTGCAGCGTGTGACTGCACCACACAGCTGGGTGCTGGCAGCACACCTGGAGAGGGTGCATCGATCCCACTGTCCACGTCATCGACAAAGATGTGAAAATGTGCCAGTCCCAATCCCGACCCCTGAGGTCACCAGTTGTCACCAGTCTCCACGTGGACATCAGCTGTTGACTGCAGCTCAGAACAGCTCCTGGGGGTGTTGGTTGACAGCAACTGAGCATGAGCCCAGGTGTGCCCACGTGGCCAAGAAGCCCAAGGGCATCTTGGCTTGTGTCAGAAATAGTGACCAGGGCAGTGACCGTCCCCTGTGCTGGGCCCTGCTGAGGCCACCCTGGAGCACTGTGTTGGGGTTTGGGCCCTGATGCACTGACCTGCTGGCTGCAGTTCCTTTGTGCTGCTCTTCAGGTGCTCTTGGGTTCCCCTGCAGTCCCTCCTCAGGCTCTGGGCGTGTGTTGGCCTTGGCATCTTGGTAGGGGTGGGATGGGCCTCCACTGGCAGCCTGAGTTGAAAGCCCTCCCTGGGCAGCCTGTGGCCAAAGCTGTTCATAATGCTTGGTCACAAGTATGTTGCACTGCTAAATGAATGAATCTGAAAACTGTGCTTAATGGGAGGCAGGAGGTGGACCTGCTTTTTCTGGGCAGACATGAATGGAGAAAAATACCCGACACTGGCACTTTTTAACTTAAACCTCCTTTCCTTTTAACATCGGCCAAGATCATTCAGGCTCTGCTTCTATGTGCAGGTCACATTAGGTGATGGCTGAGACACTTCTATCTGTACTTGTCAGTTCAGTTTTATTTTAATGAAGAGTTGTGCCTGTATCATACATTGTTTTAACACCACCACGGAATTTCTTGAGGTGGTGTTCTGTGTGTTGCTGCTGAAGCAGGAACAAGTGGGATTAGAAAGGAAACACCTCCTCACAATTTATTGAGGGGTTTTGCAAACCCAAAGTTTTGAAATTAATAAGAATTGTTGCTGAGAGCTATGAATGCTTTTATCTAATTAAAATAATATACTGCGTTACCTAATCAATTACTCTTGTGTAGTATTGATGATCAGAATATTTATTAAAGTAATAGTGTTCATGGGACTCTGACACTTAGATTAACTCCTTGAAAGGATTATACAGTTTATACTCCTTGAAAGGATTATGCCTCTCTTGTGCTGGCCGGAGTATTTTCTCTTATTTTCTGTAGCATGTTACTTTGTTACATAGAGCAGCTGGCACCTTGTTTAATTCTTAGCTTCAAACCAGTCAAATGTGTTCTTACCTAAAGCTTAATTTGGGTTGTAGAGGTTTTGTGTCAGTATTACCTTCAGCTAGTGTTTAGGTAGAGGTGTTTTATTAATTTAGATTTTCTTAAAGAAAATATTGAGTATTTGAAACATTTAAATATGAGATGAAAAAAAAATTTTCGTAATATTTGAATGGGCATTTACATTCTTCATGTCAGTATTAAACTGGAGATGTGTAGTTAGTATGTAGTACTTGCTAAGGCACGTTTTAATGAGAAGGATGGAGTTTCCAAAATCAGTTGAGTTATTTGGAAGCAGAAATCCTGTGAAAAGTCATGAGAACTTCTGTATCTTCATTATTCCTCTAGGAACAGTGGCTGGGAACAGCAAGGTGCTGTCAGGGGTTGGTCATGTGTGACTTCTGCCTCATGCTTACAGGTCTGAAAATAACATTTCGAAGTGACAACAGAATAAAAACTAAAGTGAGTTGTTCCTCTCTCTACCAGATGCAGCAACAAGAACTGGCACAGATGAGGCAGAGGGATGCCAATCTCACAGCACTGGCAGCGATCGGTCCCCGCAAGAAACGGAAGCTGGATACACCTGGACTGCTCTCCATAGGAGGGGAGGTATGTGCCTGTATAGAGTGAGAGAGGTTATTACTCCTAAACCTCGTAGGAACAGCTAGAGTTGCTTCATCTGGTTGTTTTCAGTGAACAGTGTAACTTGAAAAGGCACATTTCTCAATTAGAAGGACCGTGAGTCCAGTTTATCTTGCCACAGTTAAAATGCCATCTTCTCTTAGTTGTATTTTCAAGTATTAACTGTCAGCAGATAATTAAAGAATATTTTAAAAATATTTGAATGGGAAGGGTAGGTCTTAAACTACTCACTGCCTTTGTACCTGTTTTCTCTCTGCCTAATCCGAAGGAAAATGAAAAAAAAAAAAAGAGTAGGGAGTGAAGAAGTATCCAGAAAAATGTAACTGTAGTCTCACAGTTGGAACCAAGAGCTTGTAGTAATACCAGTAAGTGTGGCTTTGTGACAAATATGTGTCCAAACTTTGTACAGAATGTCAGGTTGTCCCCCACCCCTGCAAAGATAAGCTTGTGATCATGCTCAGTTGTATGAAATTTCAATGAGAAGACCGTGCTCAGAAGTAGAAGCAGATTTGTTAGCATGATTCTCCTGTTATCTCAGATGGAGCAGCAGCTGTACTGCACAATGGAATGCAAGGTCATCCAAAGCCTGGTGTGTGTTAACCAAGGTGCAGAACTGTGGTGACAGGGCTGCTGGACCTTGGGTAGCTGGGAAGAGCCCTGTGTTGCTCAGCACAGATACAGTTGGGTGCTTTTGTTCCTGCTCTGCCTACACAGTGGAGTCAGAGAAATTCTCCCTATTATATGCCTGTTCTGAGGAAAAGGCAAACATTTTGTTTTGAATAACTAAACTAACAGTTTTGGCTCAGGCATTTGACTGTCTAAATGCCAGGCATTTCCAAAGGCCTTTTTGTTTCCCATTTTGGACAGCTTTTATCTGACTTCTCTCTTTTCATGTGCTAAGATTAGTGCTAGGGAATTAGCTGAGCTAGGAACAGAAGTGGATCTTGTTTACATTCTAAACTTGACTTAGGACTCCAAATATGTAGGAGGTGCTCCTGTTTCTGGTGAAATTAGTTTCAGACTAAGGGAGCTCCCTGTGTTTTGTGTTGTCCTGTTATTCCCTCCTTGTCATATGTTTGGTAAAGAGTTTTGTTCTCCATATGCACCTGAAAGAAATCTCACACCAACAGGCCAGAAGAAGCTTTATTAGAAGCTCAACTGGACAGTGGCAGCTTTGGCTGTCACTCATTTAAAAATAATTTGAACCTTCTAATAATACATGGATCCTTTCAGATTTTACCAAGTGTACCTTCCCTGCTTGTCTTCACTTGACCAAGGGAATATTTTCTCCCAAGTATCAGAATTTGATTTTTATTGTCTATTGGCTCTTTTAAAAACAATGATCCTTTTGTAAGCTTTTACAGTTTGATGGACAAAACTGTGGTCACCTTCAGTGCAACATTTTATTCAGAGCTCTCTGCCTGAATGGGTTATTGATGAACAGCTTCCCTCTCTCCCTAGAAGCTCCTTATCTCCTGGTACAATGCTTCAAGGAAATATAAAGGTCTGTGGCAAATTTCAAAGGCTTCTGGAGATTTTTGCTTCCTTTTGCTGCTCACCTAGCCCAGATTTTGCTAAACAACTGTATTGTTCAATTGGCAAATGATCCTTGGAGTTTTTGCCGATACATGGATTTCCTGGAGCCATGAATTGTGTGCCAGTTCAGACAGAATTGCTCCTGTCCCGCTTCTCCCAGCTTCTAACCATCCTGGCCAGCTCACAGAGATGCCTGGCTGCAAGCTGTTTTCAAGGTCTTGGATGCTGTATTTGCATTATTCAATGTCTTTTCTGGGGAACAGGACCTAAAGTGCTGTTAGAAGCTGTCACACAGGTTGGCTGCTAGAAACTCCCTTTCTGGTATTCTGAGCTCATTTTAGGGCTGCTATGCAGAAATAAACTCAACTCCTCCAAGATGTTTTACTGTAAAAGGTAGTGAAATGTTGTATTTTTTGTCTAAGACTGTCTGTTATCTCTTCTTTGGATTTCTGGAGATTATAAACATTGTTATGAGGCTGTTCTGTGGTACTGACATCCACCTTCAGATCTCTGACCTCCACTGTGGTCTATGACACTGATTTCTCTAAGCAATTTCTAAGCTGCTTAAAGCCCTTGCTACTGATAATCTCTGCTAGCAAGGTCTGACTTGGCCAGAGCTTCCTTGGCCTGCCTTTTTTTTTTCTGAGTCAAAATAGCCAGTTTTTGAATTGAAGTTGCTAATCTCCTCATTAATCTTTTTTTACTTACATGTCTGCTTTTGTTGCAGCTGAGACACTGCCCATATGCTGATGCAAAAGGAAATAATTTACAAATCATCCCACCCTGGCATGGTACATTTTTCTCCCTTTCTGAACTAACTCTTGTTTGATATTTTACTTCGTTGCATTGGCCATTTTTCAATGAGAAGTGTTGGGTTTCAGTCCAGCTTCTTGTTTTAACAGAAATACCAGCTCACAATTTCTCTTTGGAAATCGGATCTTTTTAATGATACCCTTTTGATCTGAGCAGGAGGTCAATTTAGGGGCTACTGATGGATATTCTGTTTAAGACAAAAAGCTGATGGAAAAGCTTAGTGTTTCTGTGTTCAAGTACTGGTTGTTGTATAGAGAGAAATCTCTTCTACAGCTTTTATAAATGTGAAAAAGCTTGTACTCATAATTGCCTATATTTTCCACCAGCACTTTCTTTGAGAGTGTTTTCTTTAAACTTGTTCTGTGTCTCATGTTGCCAGTGCTCATTTGGACTTCCTGGCTCGTTTTCAAGCCATAGCTAAAATAGACTTTTTTTTTGGATGGCAGGATTATCATAAGACCAGGCCCATCATTTTTCTCTTCTGTACTACTATAGCTAACTTTTTTTTGATTACTTTTACTTGGGGACATGGAAAATGGGCAGTTTTGGAGTGAGGTTGTTTTTACATGCTTTTTAAAAAATTTAATTTTTTTCTATATGCCACCACCATATAAAAATGCCTTTCCAAAAAAACAGGAAAAAATATTTTCTGGAAAAGTGGATGAGCAGGAGCTGGATGTTCTGAAATGACACTGCCACCATGTGTGTGACCAGTTGCAGACTGTCAGTAGCCTGAGCCAATCTGACTGTGACCCCCATCCCAATCCCTGGTAGTGCATTCCTGCCTCTTCCCTTTGACTGGCTCTGGCTCTTGTTGTACCCTGAGCTAACCCATTTCCCTGTGATAAATAGGAAGAAGACTAACCTAACAACAATAAAAAGTGAATAGTTCCTGCTTAGCTTGTTGAAGCAGTTTGGCCCAGAGCCCAGTGAGCACTGGAAAGGAACTTCCAGCAAGACAGAGACAGCAAAGTGAGATCACCTGCACTTCATTCGCTTCCTTTTTAGTGCCTTTCTTGTCTTCTCGTATTTTAGATGATCTGCTGCAAACACAGCTGCCTCTGTAGCAGCAGCAGCTCATCAGTAATTCAGCCTGCTTATTATTATAATGTGGTTTAGATCAAGAGGAAAAGAGAAGAGGTAAAGAGAAACGAGATACCTTTGGAAGGATTCAGCTTCTCTGCCTTGCAGTTGAAAATATTGCATTTGCAGAATTTTTTAGGGACTTTTCATTTATTTAATAACAGTGGACAAAATTTTTTGGAAAAAGTTACAGCTTCTTGGAATTGAATGCATGATTATCAAGTTGGGTATCTAACAGTCCCGAACCATGTGCAGGGACACACATGGTACCAGTGGAGGCAGAGAGAGGGCAGTGGGTCACATGTACAGGTTACAATGTACAAAGCAGCAACCACTTCAGCTCTTTAGTGAGCATCCTTAGGCACCTCTAATGTCAGATTAAATATGGGAAGTTTTGAGTTGCTTTTGTTTACCTGAGTTGCTTTTCGTTTGATTTCAGATCTATCCAGGTCACATTTTCAATGGTTTTTGTCTTGAATTGTAAGGCTTTTAAGAGTTAGGATTCAAATTTGGTTTTGTTTATGAAAGAGGTATTTTCACATAATTGTGAGAGTTAAAGATTTAAGAAAAGGATTAACCATCCCAAGATTGGGTCAGGTAGCTTTTACAAGTTAAATATCTGGGTAATGCTAAAGTGGCATGAATGCAGAATTAGCATATTTCCAAGTCCCTCATTTTTTATTATGGAATTAAAGTGTATAATTTAAATGCAAATATTTTGCTGTATTTAATAATAACAATAATAATAATAATAATAATAATAATAATAATAATAATAATAATAATAATAATAATTTACTTTTTCATTGAGACCTATGGCTAGTACCCCAAAATACATAAATACAGAGTATATGTTTGAAATATCTGAGGGTATAATTTGTTTAAATATCAAGTGAAAGCCCTCTCCTGGTACTTGCTGGCACAGATGGTTTTTGAATACTGAGCTTCCAAAGGCAGCTTCAGGGCTAGTTCAGTGAATCACCACTTATTGAAGACAGTCATTTTAGGGATAAGAAAAAACCCTCTTTCTCACAGCAGAAGAGCAGTCATCTTAAGAATATGCAGCAGAGTATCCCAAACACCATCTTTCAAAATGTGCAGGACCATATGCTGGGCCAGTGCTCAAGGGAGATCTGATCCTCTCTGTGTTTGCTCATCCAGTATATTCCAGCCATTATAATCGTCCAGAAGGATAATGTTCTTGCAGACCTGGAAAGTCCCAAAACTACAGTTAAATAAGTGATGTTTTGTGTGGAGAAAAGCTAATTACTGAAGTGATTTGGAAGCGTATTTCGGGTACGAGGCACCGCGTTTTTTAATTAAATTAATCTTTAAGACGATTTAATTTGAGTATTTTAAAGCTGTTTTCGTGTTTAGGTTTTGTATAAAACATGATTAAGGTGCTGGTTTAAGACTTGTAAGTCTGTGTTACACCAGGGGCCTCCCAATGCAGGCATAAGAGAAGTTACTTAATACTCCTGTCTGTCAGGTCTTTATGCCATTAGTAACTCCTGAGTTCTAAGTGAAAATGTAAG